AAGCCGAGCAGATGAGCATTTCGCACCATATCCCCCTTCTCTTCCCGCATCGCCTTCATGAACTGTATCATCCATATACTCGCATCGATTGCGAGCCTTTTCCCCACCAGGGTTTCAACCGATACCCGGCGGCCGACTGGAGCCAACAGTTCCCACAAACCGTGAACACCCATTGAAAGGCTTTTCAATAAATCGCTTCTTTAGACCGTTGCCGCCAAGTTATCATGGAGTTATAGACGAACTTAACCGACTTCGATCAACTGATATTCTGGGGTTCGAAGGTATATATTATTACGTAGTTACGTAGTTACGTAGTATAATAGTAGTATAATACGTACGTAGGTAATTTTAGTTTAATTATATTACTACGTATAACGTATGTAGGTTATAAGTGTATTTATATTATACGTATTAGGAGTATTTTAGTTTGTACTTTGTACACTAAACAACTTAAAATAGTTTTATAAAATAATTTTATACGAAAACGTTACTTTTATTATCGGATCATTTTTATCTGATTAAAAAGTCGTAAACTTGGAAATTTTCTGTCTGGTTCACCTGTTTACTAAAATGCTGTTCTTATTACTGAAATATTTTTATCTGACTAAAACATCATAAATTTTGAAAATTTTATCTGATTAAAATGTCACATCTGTTGAATTTTTGTCTGACTCAATTATTTATAAAAATGTTATTTTCGTAATATTTTATCTGACTAATAAAAATTATTTTTATTTTTATTTAAATTTTTGGAGTGTCACAATGTACTAATATAAGACTCATACCATATAAGAATTGGTGCTTGATTGACTGACCAGTTCAGTCTTGTACTAATATAAGACTCATACCATATAAGAGAAGCATCTCTTTAGTCTTTGAGAAAAAACCATATGTCATTCCTTTATACATGGCATTAGCAAAGCCAAAATAGAATTTGTAGTCTTATTTGTTTTGATTCAGTTTTAGTTGTGTAAAAGTTACCTATAAACATAAGTATTTTCATCTTCATGTAGAAGATCGAGGATGTGTCTGCCTTGTCTGTGTCTTCTAGGTCTCTTTTTGCTTCGATGGCATGCTCTTGTGGAATGAGATTCGGGACCAGGGGAGGTTCTCATTATCTTCCTATGCATTGAGAGAAAGGTAGCTCATAGTTGTGACTAAGAAAGAGCTACTTGAAGGGGAAAATCTACTCGACTTTGTGACAGTAATCAAAGATGGCAATGATCCTGACAATGAAGTTCCACTAGACGTTGGTCTTGAGGTCGGTAGACATGCCAATTGCAGACAAAAAACAGAAGTTGGTAAAGACATCATTGAAATAAAGAAGAAAAATGTTGAAAGACATGCTAAAGAGCTCATTCTTTGAATAAATAATGTTTACTAATTATGTATTCTTGAAGTAGCTTTTCAAATCTAGTTGCTGCTTTTGGTTGTATTAGGCAATCTTTATTTAGGTTTTAGAGGATGTGAAACTACAACATTGTATCAAGTTACACATTGCTCTACAAGTTGAGTTAATAGCCTTGAAAGGAGAAATTATGAAAGACAAATCTCTGTAAAACATGACATGAATTGTTTGTATTTTATTTATGGAGCCACACACCATATAGATGTAGGGCTCAATTTTTTCAACTACAGGCAATGCAATTCTAAGTCTGAAATATTTTTCTTTTGTATAAAATCACCAAACATACTCCTACATGTATAATTTTAACATAGATTATGTGGGAAAGAATAAAATAAATATGATACGGAGTAATATTTTATGAAACCAGATTCCTTTATGAATAGAATCTCCAAGTAACATGGCTTAATTAACTTTAATGGGTATTGATAAATCTGCCTCAAAGTAACGTGGCTTAAATATGTGAATTGGAATTTGTATTTAACATGGCTTAAATACCAATACCAATAAATCTGCCTCAAAGGTATTGATAAATTTGCCTCAAAGAAATAAGCCATACTCAGTGAAATGGAATTGATAAATCTGCCTCAATTGGTTACCTAAATCAATTGTTTGGGTTACCTATGTCAATCCAATGAAAGTAATAAATTTAAGATTGGTGTTTGCTAATTAAGATTCTTTGTCAACACACAACTTTTACTCAAATAACTATAACCATTAACTTAAAACACGTAACTTGTATTCAAAACTCATATGAGGTCTAAAGCTTAAGAGAGGTTAAATAAGAAATTACCATTTACACATTTTAACTTGTATTCAAAACTCATAAAAGTGGAACTAAATAGACATGTTTCAATAAGAAATTAGTCTATGAGTTTCATTTGTTATTCATCAAAGTACATAGTATATTCTATTCTCTAATGAAGCTCATTACCATTTACACATTCTAACAAACACTTGATGAACATCACACAAATTGGTTTTTTATTAAGAAAACCTCAATAAATGATAAGGTACAGTTGATTATCTTTTACCAGTGCGCAGCCACATATACAGATTCGATTAAAATATTACATCAAAGCAAACAAGGAAAAAATAAGGAACAAAACTTTTAAGATATCAGTTCAATCCGAAAAGATCATATCAAAATTTTGGAATCACAAAAATCCAAAGTGAATATCAGGTAAAATTAATTCTCAACATCAAAGATCAATGGACAAAGACCTCCCAATTATTGATTTTGAACAGAGTGAGAGAAGCTTTAAATTGAAAATAAAATAAAGTTGATTTGGAGCGTCTCTAATTGTTAGCTAGTCGTCGTTTTCGCTAAAACATCGGTCTTGTACGGCGTTGTGCTCGCAAGACGCTTTAGGTGATAGACTTTTTATCATCAATGGTGTTTCTTCATGAAATTTCCGCACGAGCTTCTTTGGCTGCAGATCTTCATCTTCAACAAAGCTTCATCGGCTGCTAGTCTTCCTCGGAGGCTATTCATGTATGGTGCACTCGATCAGAAATAACTCACCGCTGCTATCACGATATGTTAAAGATGAAGAGTGAGTAATAATCCATGGCAGAGAGCATAACGGAAAAAACAGATTTAGCACCGGCGGAAACTAATGGAGAAGAATAAAAGGATTAAAGAGATTTACGGAAGGGAGTCAAGTCAGCGTAAATCTGTAAACATAAGATAAGAGAAGATTTAAAATTGCTTTTAATTACAAAATTGTCATTTGTGTCGAGCAGATGTATGGGCTGATCGCACGATCTAGAATGCTTCTCACTTTTCAGCTTAAAACATACTTCTCATGGGATCTTTTCCCTAATTGTGTGTGTATATATATATATATATATATATATATATATATATATATATATATATATATATATATATATATATATATATATATATATATATATATATATATATATATATATATATATATATATATATATATATATATATGACAATGATTGTTGGGTCCCTGTTTCTACACTAGAAATATAAGAAATGGAGCTCAAAATAGTTAGATGAAGCCTTCCATTGATGAAGATGAAGTTTACACAATGATAGGGAAATTTAGCGTAAAACTTCCGTGGGTGTTTTGCTCTTTGCGCACAAGTGGAGTATTTTTCTGAAAGGCTTACTTACTTCATTCCCTTAAAGGCATATTTATAGCCTAGGGAATGGGTAGGACACAATGATTGGGCCCTTAAATCAAGGATGCCTATATATTCCATTTTTGCACATTAAGCTAATTAAAGCTAATCTACTCTAAATTAAATACAACAAGAGGCCTATAATAATAAACATTGATCACAATATAAAATATCTCTAACATTCTACCCTTTTGTGATAAGATGTCCCTTTGTCAGCTCTTATTCATTTCTGCCTCTTGTAGTAGTTCTTTCATAGTGTTAGTGTGTGCTCATATTGACATAACATTCTTCACTTTTCGCGTCGTTCATTGATCGCATCTAGCGCCGTCTTTATTCGGTCAAATTCTTTCAGTTCAGATTCAGAGGCGTCGACAAGTCTTCGTTCAAAATCAGATTTCAGCGAAAGTAATTTATCTCGTATGATCTTCAGTGTCCCATCACAATACTTGGCAATCTCATCCAACTGCATTAGGCGCTTCTTTCCTTCGTGGTTGAGGTAGACTATCGTGATCGACTTGTCAAAAATGAAGAAATGTGGATACTTCTCAATCATAAATCCACCTGATCCCAATATCAATGAATCATAATGCTTCTTCAATCTTTCTTAATTTATAAAGCTCAATTTCAATGTGATGTGAACAATAGATAATAAGTGTGAATTTTTTCCAATCATAAAGCTCAATTTCAAGTCAATAATTCCATCTAAAACATATTACACTAACTAACAGTATGAAGGTGACAATGAACAACATATGAAAACCTCAATCAAATTGCAAGTCACTAATTTAAAGTCATTAATTCCATCTAAAACATACAAAACTAAGTGAAAGTATAAAGATGACACTGAAACATACATGAAAACCACAATCAAATTGCAAATCAGTAATGCGTTTCATGACCTAATCGTTTCTGTTGCAGTCATTATTTCAAGTTTTTGGAAAATCAAACAAAAGAGTAGGTACAGAGATTACCTTGCCAGATGGAAGAACCTCTTCTTTGTTTCACTATCGTTTGCTTAGTTTTCTTCACATTTCTCGTCCGAAGTTTTCGTTTGCTTCACCATGTTTGTTGTGGCTCTGTGTTCTTCGTTTCGGTTTACTGTGATTGATATTTGTTTCAATTACGCTCAAAACTTGAATGTTGGCATTGTGTTCGTCGTTCGCGGTGAAGCATTCATCGTCTCAGAGGAAGAAGTTTTGTTTTAAATGACAACTGGAAAAAATCGGAAAACGTTATGTAGGAGACAGTCTTTTCGAAAATAGGCGAAAGAGAGCACATGGATGGGCAGTTGATGTTTAGCTTTTGAAAAAATGGCATGGAAATTACTATTGGGCTTTGCATTTCCAAAACTATGACCCATTTTATCTTTTCCAAAAATGTGACAAATTTCCCTAACGCGTGCTCAATCTCGTTTCTTCTCCCCTTCCTGCGCAATCCGCATTTTCTTCTCCCCCCCTCCCCTGCACATCTTTTCGCAAAATTTCTTGCCAAATGGTTGGCCTCACCTCCACCTCGCTCCAACCTCGTTGTGCCTCAAACGTCATCGATGCACGCAGCACCTTGCTCCACCGCCAATCATCTGCGCAGATGGCGAGGGCGGCGAAGTCCCGACGACGACGACTCTATCCCCTCTGGCGCCGCTCGAAATCCCCTTCTTGGAGACGAAGATCCATTTTTGGCGGATCCGACCTTCTTTAGCGTCTTCTTCCTCGCTCTTCTTCTCCTTATTTCTTCTCGTTCATCCACGGTGGAAGGCGGTGGTAATGGCTAGAATCTAGCTGGCGACTAGGGTTTGAATGCAGCGAGGGCAGGGGTTGAGGTCTGGGAGGCTGGAAGGGGAGGGGATCTTAGGATATGAGGGCTCTGTGTGGTTGGGAGGGGGGCTGGGGATAATGGTCAGGGAAAATGGGAGAGGGGGCGAGTGCAGGGTTTTGGGGCTGGGGAGGGGTAGGGGAGTAGAGGGGTTGGGTAGTTGCCGAAGGCACCGACTGTGGTGGTGTCCAGCGGTGGTCGGAGGAGGGTGCTGGGGAGGGTGCTCAATGTAGGGCTGTTGCAGGGCAAGGGAGGGGAGGGGATTGGGGATGGTGCAACGATTGTGCAGGCTGGGGCAGGGTGTGCTGGGATGGGGATGGGGTGTGATGGGCCTTGGGGTCCCCTGGGGATGGGGTACGGTGGCTGGCCGGGGCTATGACATCAACTATTGCAGTGACGATGGTGTGGGTGGTGCAGTGATGGTGGTGCGGGGCTGGTGTAACTGTGGCCGGAAGGGGGTGGTTATTGGCCGGAAGGCGGTGGTCATCGACTGAAGGCGATATTAGCGGAGTCACTATGACCAAAGTTACCGTGGTGGCAACATCACTTTGGCGGAGTCACTGGGGCGGCGATGCGGCAGTCACTATGGCTGCGGTGGGGCAGTCACGAGACAGGTAGCGGCAGAGTCACTGTGGCAGCCTAGTCACTAGCAGGGCGGAGTCACTGTGGCGGCGGGTCACTTGGCGGTGGAGTCAATATGATCTGAGTCACTGTAATCGGAGTCACTATGACTGGTGAAGGAGGGGGCGGAGGCACGGTGCTAGCGGTGCATTAAATTTCTTAAATTTCTGGGTAGTCACTATCACCGGCGACGGGGGCGTAGCACCGGTGGTGGGGGGCGGAGCACAAGTGGCAGGGGAGGGGGGCCAGGGTGGGTGAATCAAGGTTGGATGGGAGCTTTATTAATTATTAAAAAAGTATTTTAAAATAATAAAAGTAATAGTCGGTACGAAATTAAATAAAGAGTAGCCTGTAGCTTGGTCACATTTGTGGAAAACTTTAAAAGCAATCATATTAATGTCTTTTGTCTTTCACTTAGTTATATTCAAATAAAAAGGCCTTAGCTTTTAGAAAAATGCTAGAAGTACAAACACACTTACAAAAAAACTTACAAACAAGTGATGTGACTATTCTAATTATCATTGATGTAAAAGTGTTGTAAATATGATGTGATGTGTTAAATAATGTGATGATGCCACGTACCTTTTGTAAGACTTTTTGTAAAAGTCTTAAGAGAAATTTGCTTTAGGTAGTACCAAATCATAGCTGATTTACCAAAAGGGAACTGCCTAATGTTTTTTATATATGTATCACCTATTTAGTTCCATATTAGGAAACTCAATAGGTGACTTTCCAAATTTGCCCTTCAAATTAAAATTAGGTATGCACGGGAAAATAACTTCCGCAGCTAACGACTTCGGTTTCCTTCTTCCGCGGTGGGACATCTCTGTTCTTCCGCATCGTTCCTCAGGTGTAGCTCAATTCGACAAATTTCTGTCGAATCTCTACAAGCGTCTCTCTGCCAATTTCCGGCGAATTCCACATGTAGAATCACAATTGTTCTCCACATGTATAATCTCTACAATTGTCTCTCCTTTTGATGTTGCTCTTCAAAAATCTGTAAGTTATATTCGAACAAAGCTGCCAAACTTTTATAATTTCAATTTCATATTGGATATGAACGAAAATTGTTTATCGTGTTGTTATCTTCGTTGTCAAATTTATGATATTATTCTACTATGTCTATTTTTACTTTTCTGGGTGATGTTTGTTGTTTTTTGTTTCGTATGTGACTTTTGTATGTTTTGAGTTTGTTGTTTTGAATTTTGTTTGTTGATTTGAGTTTCGTATTGACTTCATGTATTCAGTTACTGTTTTTAGTTATAAGGACATTTTTATGATTATTAGTTAATTAGACATTTTGTATGATGTTGTTAATAACATATCGTGTTTGCTTTTTTGTATTGACAGTGATCGCAAACATGTTGCTTATGCTTAAGGTGGATGGTAGTTGGGACAACTCATATGTTTTCTGCAACAAACGATGCTTTGGCTTAATAGTACATGAGGGGACATTATATGTTGACTTTGCTTCCATGGTTTACTCATGTATTGGTGAATCTGTTACCAATACAAGGCTTATAATGTCTTACCTTGTAGATTCATGTCCACCTCCTGTTCTTGTTAATGATGATTCTAGCTTGGGATTTTACTTGGCTTTAAAAAAAATTGACAGTGACTATGCTAAGTTTCCTTTGTGTGTTGAATTGTTTACTGTCCATTCTTCTGTAAATCAACCAATGTGTTGTGAGGCTTCTGCACTTGATCTTAATATTCCTTCCAAGTCACCAGTGATTAATGTCCTAGAGCAAGATATGCCTCCAAATTTTCTTCCAATTGATCTCAATGTTTCTGCCAGTGCTTCACTTGATGCTCAGTCAAATGGTATTAGTGTTTCTGCTGATTTTAGTCATTCCATCCCCAATTGTAATCAGTCAATGCCTTTGGAAGATACACATTCATCTTCTAATCAAGTCTCAAATTCAGCTTGCCCTTTTGATCCTTTGGAACATGATTTAATACTTTCTAGGAGTTCTAGTCATACTTCTTCAAGTCAACCTATTAGTTTGCATTCAGATGGTCATTCAGATTCACTCTTTGTGGTTCCTGATTTTGAAGTTATTTCTCACTTCCATCCAACTCATATAGCCAAACATGTTGTATACAAAACAAAAAAGGCTTTGGATTTCCATTTAAAAGTTTATGCCATTTAAAATCATTTTCAATATAAGACCAAAAAGTCAACCAAAAAAGTATTGCATGTCATTTGTGTTGATGTAGAGAATTGCAAGTGGGCTGTTCGTGGAGTGAGGTTGTCTGGAAGTCACATGTTCCAGATTAGGAGGTATTAGTGTTCTTTTTTTTATTGACTTGTTATTATGTCTTTATTGTCTACCTAATGTCATTTAATGTTTTCAGGTTCGATTCTGATCATACATGCTCCATTGACTTTAGACAATGTCGGCATTGTCAAGCCACATCTGATGTTATTGCAGAGCTTATCAAACACCGGTATGCAGATGCATCTCGAAAACCGTATGCTCCTATTGATATTATGGTGGACATGAATAGAGATTATGGTGTTATTCTTCCTTACAAAAAAGCATGGAATGCGAACAAAAAGGCTCAAAATAAATTAATGGGTTCAGATGAGGAGTCTTACCAGCTTATGTCATCCATTGCGCATGTTCTAGAACAAAAAAAACCAGGCGGGAGAACTATCAAATAAGCCCTCGAACTTTCATAAAAAGTGAAAATAATCCCTTTTACAGGAGGCTTTGTCCGGCTGTCGACATTTGCGGCAGTTTCCGGTGGAATTATTTTATGAATTTTTTTGACCAACTTCTTCATTAAGTCTAGTTTACCCATACCAAATTGCAGATAAAAATTCAATCTAGAAGGCAGTCGAATGATTTTCTGAAATATATTGCACTATCTAACTGCACAGTTATCTTCAACAATTCATTTGACTGTCTTCCCGATTGTATTTTTAGCTGAAATTTAGTATGAATAAACTAGACTTAATGAAGAAGATACTCAAAAAGTTTTATCAAAAAATTGCACCGGAAACTGCCCCAAATGGCTATGGACGGACAGATCCTCCTATAAAAGGGCTTATTTGCACTTTTTATGAAAGTTCGAAGGCTTATTTGATAGTTCTCCCAAATCCAGGCTCAAAGATCTCACTTGTTATTGATGATGATCACCGTTTTAAGTATTTTTTCATGTCATTACGTCCATGGTTTGAAGGCTGGAAACACTGTGTTCCAGTCCTTATTATTGATGGTTCTTTCATGAAGGCTTGTTATAAGGGCACCTTATTAACAGCATGCACTCAGGATGCTAATGACCAGATATTCCCATTAGCGTTTGGCGTTTGTGACACTAAACGAAAGGAGACGTGGCTTTGGTTTTTTAAGATGCTCAAACAAACTCTTGCTCATAGAGATGACTTATTTATTGTCTCAGATCGTCATGAAGGGATTATTCATGCAGCAAGGGTAGTTTTTCCACACGCTGAACATGGATACTGTGTTCAACACATTTTAGGGAACATTAGAACAAAGTTTAAAGGTTGTGATGGGTTGTCATGGAAGTTTAACCAGGCAGCCAGGGCTGCCTCTCCTGCTGAACTTGAAGAGTATTTAGCTTTACTGGATGCTGAAGACGCTGGTATTCGTCCTTATTTGAGTGCTATTGGTTTTGAGAAGTGGACCCGTTGTTACAGTAGGCGCACTAGGTACTCTGTGATGACATCCAACAATGCTGAGTCACTGAATTCTGTAGATCGTATCCCTCGGGAGTACCCTATAGCAAAGTTGATTGATTTCCTGCGGGACAGGATGCAGAAATGGTTCTGCGAGCGTCGAGATAATGCTGAAAAAAATAAAACTATTCTGTCTGAATATTTTGAGACCAAGCTACGTTCTTTCCATGCTGAGTCTTCTATGATGCTGGTAAATTAATTACCTGTTTATCCTTTTGATTATTGTTGTTTATTTTTTATAATAATAGACTTCTAACTACTGTTTTCCATTTTTGTTACTCATGTTTAGGTGAAGCCTGCCAGTTCATATGAGTTTGAAGTTGTGGACAAAACTTCGAGAAGCTTTGTTGTTAATTTGAAGGAAAAGACATGTTCATGTCGTGTTTTTCAACTGGAGCATTTTATATGTGTTCACGGGGTTGCTGCAGTTGGTCACCGTCGAGGCTTATCATGCTATGACTACATCTCTAACTATTCTTTCACACATGCATGGCTTAGCACATATAGTGGAGAGATGCACCCTATTGGTTCTTCGTTTGATTGGGAGATTCCAGATCATGTGAGATCAGTTATATGTAAACCACCTACTTGTTTGACACGTCCACCTGGTAAACCCAAAAAGAAGCGCATACCATCAATTGATGAATTTCCATCTCGTCAACGTTGTTCTCGATGCATGAAGGGTGGTCACAACAAGAAATCTTTCACCAATCCTATATCAGTTTCTAGACCTTAAGATGTATATTTCAATTTCAACTTTTATTGTTCTATTCACTATATGCACTTTTTGTTTTTCAAGCATTTCCTATCAGTTATGTCTTTCTTTTTATCGATATTCAATAAAAAGGCATTTAAACAATAAGTTTTATTTTACTTCACTTTCATTGGTGCTCAGATGTGTTATCTTTGTATTTTGTATTTCTGTCACACATATACATTAATTGTTAAACATAAACTATATGTTGATTTGTTTATTGTCTTATTATTGTCTATTTATTGCTTATTTAGTGTCTAACGTACTTGTTATATGAAATTTATTAATTTAATAAAAATCTACTTCATAAGTTTATTAAAAGACACTATTTTTCATCTATTCACTCTTTGTATTTGAAATATTTGTGTGAAAAACTATGTTATGTGAGCGAATAGACATATAACAGTTCATATAGCAGTTCATATTTGTGTGAAAAACTATGTTATGTGAGCCAATAGCCATATAACAGTTCATATAGCAGTTCATATAACATGTCATATAACAGTTCATATAATAGTTCATATATAGACAAAAAACATGACATTAAGTATCATTTAATGTCTACTTAATGGCATAAAATAGACATTAATATGGGTGTTCATATAACAGTTTTGCTTGCATCAATGCAGTTAGACTACGAGTTCAGTACATTCTTACTTGAATTAGATGCACTACAGTACATATTAACCAGAATAAATGTGCTTTGTTTACGATACATATCACAACAACCAGTTATTAAATCTACTTTTCTTTTGACGCATACAAAAGTAGTTCCGTTGTCATCTTTTCTCGATACATCTCCATGTCATCATTTGAAACCTCAGTAGCTTCTCTATCAAGCATTAGGAACTCAGCAAACTTGATCACAAACATCCCACAATTACCCCTGCAAGATAAAAACAGATAACTATCTTTATCTTTCTATATTTGATGGAGTATATGGGTCTAGGCCCCAGGACCCACATACTCAGAACAGAAGGCACAACTGTCACCCAGTTGGACCCTCATCGGCCAGGTGACCCTCGTCGGCTGGAACAAAGTCAACCCAGAACATGATCCGGAAGCCAGAAGAATCGGCCGGGTCTTCGTCGGTCGTGCACTCGTCGGCCGGGCCTTCGTCGGCCACAAAGGACTCCCAGAGCCGGATTTTTACACTTACTCATTTTGTATACTCCATCATTCACTTTGTATTCGGCCCAATAGCGGTCCAGTTCTAAATGGGCCTCCCAAGCCCAAGGCTTGGGAGCCCAGCCCGTATTTTTCCTATAAATACTTCCTCTGGAGGTAGTTGTAGGGGTCGGAAAATCATTTATTGAAGCATTTGCTTGCACTTCTCTCTCTAGCTCTCACCTCTCTCTAGAATATACTCTATCATTTGGTGCTTTCATTGAGAGCTGGAACAATCAAGTTAGCATCCTTCGTCGCTACCAAGCACAGCTAACCACTGATCATGGGAAGAACTAGGTCAAACCGCAACCTCGTCAGCAAGGCCATCCCTGAGGATCAGGAGAACAGGGAGTGTGAGGAGGACACCACGGCCGACCAGATCGGGGGAGGGGATGTCTTCCAGGAGGCCATCAATCTCACGGCGGACCTGCGCAACCAGCTCAATGACGGCGCCCCTGATGCCCGCATCGGCCTGGATAAGAAGCGCGCAGAGAAGGCAGACAACGCCCCGGCCCAACCGTTGGCCATGGTTTCTCCGTCTGTTGACCCACAGGTTCAGGCCGCACTATCGGTTATCATCGCCAGCTTGGCTCAGAACCCCACCGTCCTCAGCGCACTCATGCCAAGGATTGGGGGGAACATCACTCCACCTCCTCAGCCCCAACTGTTGGCCATCAAGCTAGGCAACGACGATGGGGTGATAGCCCAGGACACGGCGTCGTCCCACTCCCACCCTGCTTCCCCTCTTCGGCCCGGACCGACCCCAGCGCGTGGAAAAGCCTCTGCCTTCAATAGGTGGGACGGATTGGTGAGCGTCGGCCTGGCTTGCCAAGTGAAAGCCTGTGGTCTCTGTCCCGGACAGCGGACCAGCCCCACCTGAACAAAGGCAAGGGAAAGCTGCACGAGGACGACGTGCGTCACCAGATCAACGCGACCCACGAGGTGCGCATGCAGAACCAACAGGGCGCCACTGCGGCCGCCAGGGACCCCCGAGACGAGGTTATCGCCCAGCTGGAAAGGAGACTGGACCAGATGGAGGCCAGACAGTCGGCGAACATTCCCACGGCCGGTGCCTCCAATGACCCCGGCCTCAATGCACTCATGAACAAGGTCAGCGCCCTTGAGAGGAAATTGGCTGAAGGACGAGGTGACCCTGTCATCCAGGTTAGGACCAGGACTCCCGTCACTAACAGGGTGCTCTCGGCTCCCATCCCGGAGAAGTACAGGGGAAACGCCATCAAGACCTACGACGGCCGCTCCGATCCCCAGGAGCACTTCAGCCGCTACCAGAACAACATGTTGATGGTGAACGCGTTGGATGAATACCTCTGTCGTTGGTTCCTCTCCACTCTTGAAGGGCCAGCGTACGAGTGGTTCAACGCGCTTCCCGAAGGACGTATAGAATCATGGCAGGACCTTGCCCAGCGCTTACTCACCCACTTTGCCGGGAGGAAGCGTGCGAAGAAGTACTTCACCCATCTCCTCTCGGTCAAGCAGCAACACGACGAGTCACTCCGGTCTTTCATAGATCGGTGGACGAAGGAGACCGAGGAGGTTGAGGGGGGCGATGAGCGCACCCTCCTCGTCCTCTACCAGGGAGCCCTCCGCAGCTCCCCGTATGCCAGGAGCCTCATCACCGACCCTCCGAGGTCGTATGCAAAGGCGCTTCAGCGCGGGAGTTTGTACGCCGACGCCGACGAGCTCCACAACCACAAGAAGGACGGAGGCCACCCCTCCAAGAAGACAAATCCTTCGCCGGCCCCGAGAGCATCCCCGGCCGGCCAGGGTGCCCAGGGCCGTCACGGCTCTGGTGGACAAAACAAGAAAGACCGCCATTAGCGGCCGAGGTTGGAACGGTCGGGGATCCCCCTCACACACCCGGTCAGCACCATCCTCGACTACGCCGAGAAGCACGACCTCATTGAACAAGCTCCTCGGCCGACGGAGGAGGTCCATGCCATCCAGCAAGGCGGTACCTACTGCCGGTTCCACAAGAACGCCTCCCACAACACCGTTGAATGCATCACGCTGAAGAAAGCCATCGAGCGCCTGATTCGTCAGGGGGAACTCTCCCAATTTGTTAAAGGTGGCCCGCGCAAAAATACGTGGGTAAACACCAATAAATCTGGGGGCGAACCCTCTACGAAGAAGCGGGAGATCGGTAGGCTCAGCGACGACGAAGACTTTGAGGAGCCTCCACCGAAGAAGAACCACATTCACCTCATCGTAGGTGGAAACATCGGGGTGGACTCCGTCACCCAGAGGAAGAAATGGGCCCAATCCCTTTACATTGGGGAGGTGTCCCACGTTCCCCCCCCCCCCCCCAGCCGAAGAAGCAACGAACGGAGGTGATCACCTTCACCGACAAGGATCTGCCTCCAGGTACGGAGTCACATAGGGACGCCCTCGTCATCCGGTGTGAGATCGGTAATTCCATCATCCACCGCACTTACATCGATACGGGGAGTTCCGTCAATGTGAGGTACCTGGACACCTTCAGGCAACTGAAGCTGGACAAAGCTATGTTGAAGCCGATCAAGACACAGTTGTCCGGTTTCACCGGGGACTCTATCGACGTCGAAGGCACGATAGTCCTCCCCGTGGAGGTTGGCGACGGCTCCCACCGCGCCAAAATTGACATGGAGTTCATGGTGGTCAACTTTCGATGCGCCCACAACCTGATTTGGGGGCGGCCAACACTGGAGGACCTGGAGGCCATCATCTCCATGAAGCACTTATGCTTGAAGTTCCCCACCAGTGGCGGCATCGGCTACGCCAGAGGAAACCAGAGGATAGCCAGGGCATGCTACCTCAAGCTAACGAAGCCGGCCGAAAGAGAAGGACAAAGAATAGACACCATCATGACGGCCGTTGCCAAGGATGAGGAGAGGCCGCATGCCGAACCAGCCGAAGAGGTCGAGGAGATCCCCCTGGATACCTCCCGTCTGGAGCAAGTCCTCAAAATTGGGATGCAACTCCCGCAGGACCAGCGAGACGCCATCCTCCTCGTCCTACGGTCATACGCCATCATCTTCGCCTGGGGCCCAGACGACATGACAGGCATCAGCCGGAAGGTGATCACCCACCGGCTGACCGTCGATCTGGCCTCCGTGCCTGTCAAGCAGAAGAGACACTACTTGTCCGCCGACAGACGGGACTTCGTCAAGGGGGAGGTCACCATGCTCCTCTCAATCAACCACATCAAGGAGGTGAAGTACCCAACGTGGCTAGCCAACGTCGTCCTCGCCCAAAAACCGCCGACATTCAGAATGTGTGTTGATTACACCGACCTGAACAAGGTGTGCCCCATGGACCCGTTTCCTCTCCCCAACATTGATCAATTGGTGGACGAGACGGCGGGATGCGAGTTGATGTTGTTCCTTGACGCCTTCAGAGGGTACCACCAGATTTTCATGCATGAAGATGACGCCGAGAAAACGGCCTTTATGACCCCAGAGGGAATTTTCTGCTACCTCGTCATGGCTTTCGGACTCAAAAACTCAGGCGCCACCTACACCAGAATGGTGGCTAAGATCTTCAGGACGGTCCTCGGCCGGACGATGGAGGCATACGTCGATGACATGATCGTCAAAAGTAAGCGGGCCACCACACATGCTGACGACCTCCGGGAAATCTTTGAAATCGTGAAGGAGTTCAAACTCCGCCTCAACCCCAAGAAGTGCGCCTTTGGCGTCCAAGGCGGCAAGTTCCTCGGCTACATGGTCAGCCGGAGAGGCATTGAAATAAATCCGGAAAAGATACAGGCCATCATCAATATGGAGCCGCCCAGCAACGTCAAGGAGGTACAACGGCTAACGGGGCGCCTGGCGGCCCTGAGTCGTTTTCTCTCCAAGTCAGCCGAGAGGTCACTTCCTTTTTTCCATATCATGCGCAAAGCAAACAGCTTCAAGTGGACGTCGGAGTGCCAGGAAGCATTTGAAGAACTAAAGAGGTACCTTTCGTCCCCACCAGTGCTCTCCAAGCCCAAAGCCGGCGAAACCCTCTTCTTATACTTGGGGTGAGCACGTCGGCCAT